CATATGCAAGGCCCTGGATTTGATACCCAGTACCACAAAAGGGCAGAGGGGTGGGGAGGGGCTTACAAAATTCAAGAACAGTGAAGGTAGAAGTTCTGTGTTTATTCTCATAACTGACTTAAAGACCAAGAATCACAGTTAAAATAACTTCCCTAAAAATGTTTTATGGTTTTGTAACATCATTCTCCAAAAAGTATCTATTTCACCATCCCAGGTTAATATGATCACACTGTTGTATTACTAGAGGTAGCATTGTGGGAAAAATTAAAACAAATTACTTTGTTGTGTCTTAAAAGTATTATATCACATTGATCTTTACCTTGTTTGTAACAGCATTAACTAGTAGATTCTTAATCCATAATCTCTGTATTCAAAGGCAATATTTAACTGTTAATGGATTATGAAGAAACTAGACTCATAAATATAGATATACATGAAATTTTACATATTTAATAGGGCTCAAAGTTATTATATTAAAAAAATTTTATTTTTGCCATGGGGATATAGCTCGTACCTAGTATGGACAAGGCCCTGGATTTGATCCCTAGACCAGCAAAAGAAAAAAAAAAAAAAGCAATAACAATAACTAAAAACACTCTTCATTTTTAGGGGAAGTTTGAAGACCAGGAACTACTAATTCTACAATAAGATACTACTTTTAAGCCATCACTTATCTCATCTTACACTTAAAAAAAAAAAAAAAACCTCCCTAAAAATGTTTACAAACACCATCACAAGTTTTTTGTCAGCCAACCACCATGATACATGCCTGTAATGGCTATGTAGGAGACTGAAACATGGTAGTTTTAGGCCAGTCTAGGTAACCTAGTGAGACCCTGTTTTAAATTTAAAAAAAATAAAAAGAGAGATATAGCTCACTGATAGAATGCTCCCGGGTTCAAGGCCCAGTACCCAAAAAAAAAAAAAAACAACAAAAAAAAAAACCTTAAAAAAGTAAAACCTTCAAATCATTATTATTGCCAGGAAGAATATCAGGAGAAAACTAGAAGTCTGTACATTATCAAACTATTTTGTAAAAGATCTTTCCAAAGTTAGAAGTGCCATTGAAGACCAAAGTTGCTCCTGCTGCTAGAGTGATCATTTGAGAGTCATTAGTATTCTTGTGTGACAATCCCCCATTATTAAGGGCTTTTTCTTTTTGTTTTTATCTTTATTTATTTTTTGTATAGGGTCTCACTATACAGCTCAAACTTGTAGTGATCCTCCTGTTTTCAGCCTCCCCCGTGCTGTAATCACAGGTATGCACCACCACCAGGCCCAGACTCACTCACAGGCTCAGCACACCCCAGGGCAGGACCAGCTTGGCATGCGGTACCAAGGATTGAACTCTAATTCCTGCACTTGCCTAAGCAGACTCTTAGTCCACTGAGCTATCTCACCAGGGCCCATTATTAAGTTTTAATTTAATTTCTAAATCATGTCCTCCTCCATATCCATAAACTCTGGTGAAATGTCATCAAACCTGGAAAACTGACTAAAAAAAGGAGTGTTATTAAAATGTGATTACTCTTGCACCCTGGGCTGAAGTTTTTCTTAGTATTTGGTAAGTAGATCTATTCATCTATGTGTACAGACAAGGCTTAAAGCACTGCAGTGTCTCTCTGTCAAAGTTTTATTAAAAACTGTGCCTGTTTTTTAGTTGTTTCCTATGTGTCAATAAAATTTTATCAACTAAAAAAAAAAAAAAAAGAATTATGAAGGAGAGAGTAGATGAAATACCTCAGAGGACTAAGAGCCTCTTATGCAAGCGTGTGTACCAGGTGTGTTCCCTGGCACCACGTGGTACGCCACCCTGCCCCTGGGTGGGCTGAGCCAGCCACCGAGACCAGGCTTGGTGGTGCATACCTGTAATCCTAGTGCTGGGGAGGCTGAAACAGGAGGATCACTAGGAGTCCAAGCTGTGTAGGGAGACCCTGTACCTAATACATTTTTTAAAAAAAGAATTATGAAGGAGAATAGGTATTTTTAAAAGTTACCAGTTCTAAGCTCCTCCTTAGGCAAGTGCAGGGACCAGAGTTAGATCCCAAATGCTGCACTGGCCCCACCCCCAGGCATGCTGAGCCAGCCATGGAGACCAGGCATGGTGGTGCACACCTGTAATCCCAGCTCTGGGGAGGCTGAAAACAGGAGGATCACTATGAGTCTGAACTTCATAGTGAGACCCTGTACAAAATACATAAAGAAAATAAAATCTGTAGAAAATAGATAAATAAATGAATAAAAGTTGCCAGTTCTATGGAACAAATTGAACTATCAGATAACCCATTATGTAATATAAGGCTGGGGGTGTAGTTCAGGGGTAGAATGGTGCTTAGCATGTTCTGGGCCCTGATATAATCCTCATACCAGAAAAGTAAACAAACAAATGAAAATAAGAAAACACAGGTTCTGTGGAATTTACCATAGGATTAGGACACCTGACCCTAGGCATGGGCACCAAAGCTGTGTCAAACACAAGGCAAATGACAAAGACTCACCCTAGGAAGAAAAATGATCAGAAACTACAGTAGTTGTAAGAGTCAATGTAGACCTCTTCCTGTTAAGCAGTCTGAGGTGATCTGTGAAAATGGTTCACTACTCTCTTGACCCATAATACCCCACTAAATCATGCACATAAAGAGACTCAAATCTTTGTGCTCACTCTAAGAATCCCCATGAAACTGCCCAGGCTATCAAGAATATGCATATCCGAAAGGCCACCACATATCTGAAAGATGTTGCATTACAGAAGCAATGTGCTGTGGCCAAATCTTGGAAGCAACCAAAATGCCCATCATTTGAGGAATGAATGAAAAAGATGTGGTATTTTTATACAATGAAGTATTACTCAGCTATAAAGAAAGACAAACTTGAAGACTTCATAGGTAAGTGGGTACAACTAGAAGCTATATTCGTAAGTGAAGTGAATGAGACCCACATGTGTAAATATATTATCTCCCTAGTGTAAGAACCCAAAAGAAGAAATAAAACCTGAAAGGTATAACAGATATGGTAAAATGGAAAGAAACAACGAAGAGGAGAGAAAGGAGAAAAGATAGGAAAAAAGGTGGGGGGAAAACATGCAAATATATGTATATACAGGATGGCTGAGGCAGTTGTACTAATTATTTCCATCAGTTTTTTGAAAATAGCAGTTAATGTGTAGAATTTTCAACTTGACTAATTTGGTATGCTTATATCTGGGAACTAAGCAACTACATTGAGCACAGCAATGTGTCATACAAAAACTCTGCTTGAGCACCTGTCATCTTGGTCTTCTAAATGTGTACTGTGTCTAATGTCATACCAATTATTATTATACTGTCTTTAAAATGGTAATAAAAGAAAAAAGAGAGAGAGAAGAACAAAAATTTAAGATTTCTTGAAAGCAGGAGGTAATATTCACTCACATGTCCAATCTTACATAACTAGATCAGTTAATCTGAGCAACAGATTTGACAATAAAAATAGATAATATATCAACCATTGTTGATCAGTTATTCTTTTTTTTATTTTAGGGAAGGGTCTACAGGGTGTTCAGGATCTCACTACTAGATCAGACTCATAGTGATCCACCTGTTTACAGCCTCCCAAGAGCTGGGATTACAGGTGCACGCCACAATGCCCAGTCTCAATTGCCATCTCAGTGTGCCCCTGGG